CGGAAGAAAATGTAAAGAATATAAAGATTTGCTGTGAAACTTTTGAAGATGACAGTGGCCTGGTGGAGTTGTAAATGTGTTTGGTTGGCAGATGATTACTAAGCAGTGTGGGACAGCAGGGGTGTTTGTCATCTGTCCACATGGAGTCATACGGAATAGTTCAATAAGGTTTTGAATGTATATAAAGGGTTACCACCTGATAACAGTCAAGAAAGGTAAAGCATTCTGTAAACCTTTAATGAGGTGTACATCCCAGTCAGGTTGTCTTCCCAAAAAAAGACACCAAAAGGTCCTATGCAAGAAGAAAGGATGAATCTCACAGATCTTCTCTGAATAAGAAAGAAAAAAATGCATAGTAAAATCTAGTGTTATAAAACTGCAAAGAAGAAATATACTGTGTGTTTTTTTGCACTGTTAAGTATCCTTGCAGTATAACAAGATATATGGCATCTCTCTCATCTATGGCATATACTGGATGACACCCAGCATTGCTTAAAGATTTCGTCTGGGAAGTTTTCAGTCAATAGTTTATGAAGAGTACGAATTACATGAAACCTTCTGTTATAAATCAGTCTGGTGGCCAGAGCAGATATATTCTTGTCTTAAGGAGTCTGCACAACAACTTTTATAAAATCTTTCCTAGCTGATGAATATTCTGAGTATGTTTAAGTAAGAGAAAAAGCCTCCATTGACTTAAATTCTGTCAAATCTCAGCTCAGTACTTTCTGATCACTTTTCTGCTCCTTCTGTCTCTGGAGGTGAGTGTTTCATTTTCATTGCTTGATTTATGTTCTATGTTCTTTGCAAATTAACACTGGCTGAGCCTCAGAAAGGTCACTGTTTCAAATCAGATAAGCATACAGATGTGTAGATGTTTATTTAAATCATAGCCTTGGGAGGCTAAAGCTTCTTGGGAGAGAGAAGACTGAGTTTTCTAGAAATGGATGTTTCCAACAATAGCCAGCACATCAAAGATGTCCACATACCTAAGTACATCAGAAAGTACAACCATCTTTTCCTAATGCTAAACAAATACTCTATCAGTGGCAGATACAATACTAAACTCTGGCAGATACAATATTAAACTCAGAAAAATGGTAACAGTGCAGTTCCGATGGACCTGGATTGTTGGGAATGTATTTAATATATGGTATCTCTCAGGGGAAATGTGCGTCTCTCAGAGGAAAGTTAGGAATGTATTGACTGTTGTCTAGGATCCAGATGAACAGGACTGTGTAAAGAACTGGGTACACCCATAATGCAGATGTGCTGCTCTCAAGAGAAGCCTGGAAATGCCCTATAACTTCAAGTTTTCCTTAAGTTATCTCTGTAAGTGAGGAGATGCAGGACATAGCTCTGTGCTGGGTGCCTGGTTCTTTTGGGGCCTTTGAAATCCTTTCCTCAGCTGCCCACCTGGAGACATGCCATGCTGATCAGCAATCTGGATTCAGCCCTGGCCAGAACATGCAATTTAGGAGTACATTTATATTATGCAAGTGGCTAATGATTGCTTTAGTCCCATGACTGATGACTTCATAGTGACATGTAAGAAAAAGTTTTCCTGATATATTACAGTGTTATGCACTACCATTTCTTAAAAAACCTCATCCATCAGGATCATAGACTCTATGCTACATCAGAAAAGATCATATGCTAAAACTGTGATTGAGATTTTGTTAGCAAGGATTGCAGAGCTATGAAACAGATAGTTAAATAAATTGGATAAAATAGAGAATGTAGTAAAATATTGCACAGTGTAATCAAATCTAGGTAAGGTATCAACTTCTGTTTCAGGTATGGATCATTTAGGCTGTGGATAACTCTTTCTGTTTTTAAAACTTACCTGGTGAACAGAAACTTTTAGGCATGTCTAACTAGCATTTAGTGAGTAGCATAACTACTCTAAAAAGCAGAGTATACCCAGAAGCTAGGGTCAAAAATATCACTAAAGTAAAAAAATGCATTTCTTGCTAAATATAAAAATATTTAAACATATGAAAGAGCATTGATACAATATGTTCAGGTGTTTCTTGAAAAAGATTTGTGAAATCACTTCCCTCCTACCCCCAATTTGAAACTTTTCTTTCTTTCTTTTTTTTTTTTTAAGCAAAGAGATAAAAATTCCAAAGATAGCAATCCTAGCATGTTATTTTGGCTTATAGTAGGTTTCTGAGAGAAAAGAGACCATATCTTAAACAGCACAAACTTGTCTCAAATTTTGACCCTGCTGTTTAAGTTTTACAGGAAATATTGAAGTTTGCATACCAGCATTAGAATATATCACGAAAAAAGGTTGCAAAGAAAACAAGACAGGAATTGCAAGTGGAGGAATAAAGTAGTGAGAAAATCATAGTTTAATAAATATGGATAAATAAACTCTTTGTGTAATTCAGTTAGAAGTTAATCATCTAAGAGACACACATTGACAGGAAACCGTCAGTGGATATTGGAATTAACTTCTCTTTTTTCAAGAAAGAGATGATCCAGATGATAGACATTTCTTGCAGGAAAGCTAGGATGAAGCAAAGTGCTATGGCTGTCATGTAATGGCCAGAGGGACTCTTTAATAGTTCTCTGTAGACGGTGCTTGTTAGGGTCTAGTTTTAATTAATTTTCAAACTATGAGGGCTTCTGCTTGTGATGTTATGAAGCAAAGATTTTAGCTTTTCAGCTACTGACCTCCCTTGCTTTGTATAGTTTATTTGACATTTCTTAGATGGGCACTACTTCGGGAATGGGAAAGTCTTAGCTAACATTTTAGGAATTTATTGAACCTCTTTGTTAGTCTGGACTCATGACTGTTGGAAAGTTTTCTTTTGCCAGTGCAAGGGAAAAAAAGGGGGAAGGGGGCAACAGACACCAAAAATCACATGTTTGAAGCATGAAGATCTTTTTCCTGGGGTAATAGGCTCCCCTTGGTGAAAGAAATTGCAAATTACTGTTAGTTCATATGGCAGAAAATTGAAAATGCAAAAGGAAATAAATATTTTCTTCTGTAATAGATCTTACAATTGCCTATGAGGTTGGAGGGTTTAGTACTTATAGGAGGCTATTAAATAGAACAGCAGAGTTAAATTATATCATCAATTCAATCTTCTTTGTCAGTTGACAAAATCCCTATTAATTTCTGTTTTATATTTCAGGCTATTCACCATCTCAGAGATTTTTTGTTCTTTTTGCTCACATGACATAAGTGGTGTGATAAAGTAAATATCCACTTCAGGGAGGACTGTAACCATAGACAATTTCATACAGCAAAGACCTGAGATATGATTTGTCAGAGAATACTGAAGTACACTAAATAGTATTTCAGCCAAATGAGACTAGAGTTGTTCTTCTTCATTGCTTTTAAGCATGACTCATATGCTCTACCCAGCCTCATAGATCTGCAGCAATCTGCAAGGAGGAAGCGAATTATCTGTGAACAATTTTCACAAATTGGCACGTTACCACATGTGCTTGTTCATCTGCTTGCTCTTTACCCCTCACGTCTTTGAAGATGCTATAAAGACAATGCACACAGAAGAAAATCCCCTCCCCAAACTTGCAATGCATGCAAGATACTTGCAATTTCATGCAGGAGACATCCTTGCTTCAGTTGCTTGTTTCTAGCCTAGTCCCTAATCTTGTGTAGTCAAGGCTCATTACTCCTCCTGTCAAAGGGATCCTTTGCTGCAGAGTGCACCCCGCCTCTACCAAATGGAAATGAAATGCAGTATAAAAATAATCCAGAAAATCATTTAAGTTGGAAGGGATTGGTCCTATTCTCAAAGAAAGCTTTATGTCTGTTCCCAACAGCACTCCTCCACAGTTTTAAGTGAATAACTACCCCTGAGGTTTCTTTTCTAAAAAGTCCTCTTTCCTTGCTCTCTGTCACTTCAGTTCTTGCTTTTCTGTTACTTTTTTATGAGTAAATGCTTATTTTGGATTTTCGTCCATTTCCTCTGACATTAATGCAGTCAGGAGCATGCCCTCCACTGGAAATGACATGTTTTTCCAGATATTATTTGGATCCCATTTTAATTGGCAAAGATATCTTATATATTATTCCCCTTTTTACCTGTCTACATCTATTTTTTACCAAGAGAGGACAGAATGTTAAAATGTATTCTCTGCTTCATCCTCAAAATAATGTATAAAATCTGAAAGAAGGAATGCAGAATTTGTTCCAGTTGTATTTAAATATATATATAAATGTTATTTATTTTTATCTTTATTTTATGTTTTATTCAGAACTTGTACCTCTTTATGAACATCTTTGGCCAGATGACTGTAGTGGTATGTTCAGCCTTTAAATTAGCCTTTTTTTTTCCTGCTTGTTTGTTTGTTAGTTTGTTTGCAAGCACTTTCACCAATCCTACTTTCGCTGAACTGGAATCCATCTATCATCCTCTGTGAAAGCAGAAGTAAAGCACCCTTGCCTATCATAGCTGATAGGATGAGAGTGGTTATTTTGGGCCTGTTTATATGCATGTTATCTGCCAGTCAAAGAGACTATAAGGTGATCACCTTTTCTTCTCTATGAACCATCACATCCTACCCTCAAGGATGTGGGGCAAACAGGATTATCATGCTGCTTACAGGTTAGTATTAGCATTTGAACTGGTTGTTAGATGATTACTGTCTTAAGTGATCAGCAGCTCTTTCTCCCAGTTAGATTATATTTTCTAGAGAAAAAAAAAAGAAAGAAAGAGAAGAAAAGAAAGAAAAGCAAAATAAAAAACACAACATCCCTTCCGAGCATTAGTTCCTCTCCAGCCCATCCCCCTGGTGGAATCCATCTATCTGTTTAGTACTAAATATTGCACTGGTCTTTCAAGTTTCACCTAATACAATGAAGCCAAACACGCACTGATAATCTTATCATCTTCTCCAACCATATACTTTTGATCATACTTATTCAAAATCAATAGCAGAACTCTTCTTGACTTCAGTGAATCAAATAATAATGTTTTTTTCCCTGTATGTCTAAATTTAACACAGCACGTAAAATTTTACTTGTGTTTTTGTGACTCTCTAGTTAAAGCTGACAAGCTAGTTTAAGAAATCTGGATGTAGCTCAATTATGAAAAGGCTGATGCCTTCAAATGTTGTTTTGAAATGTGTGCTTGAAATTAGCTACATGAAATATTCATGAGCTGAAAAATCCCTAGGAAAGTTGAAAATATCAGCCTCTGTTTATCAACTGTCTGGAATTTCAGAAAAGAGTGTCAAGACCAGGTGTGCTAGGAACCACTCTTCCACATTTGAATGCTGCATTTTCATTATCTCCAAGCACAGACATGCAAGACAAGCATGTCTGGCCTAATGTGCTTTTGGAAGAGCAAAAAGTCCCAGTGGAGCAACAGTTCAGTGCAGATACTGTTGCTAGCTTCTCAAATTCCTGGATTATGCTACTTGTAGTTGCTACACATGTGTGCATCAGAGATCAGAGCTTACCCATTGTGAAAATCCATTTTATACCCATATAAAAGAGCTTATTTCACAAATGAACAAGCCAAAGGTTTAGCTCATTTGAATATCTGAATGAGATCCAAAACAGATTTAATTGAATATTCATTTCATGCAGCTTTAGCCAACTGAGTTGCTTAAATGAATTGATCCCGTGAGTAATAGTGTATACACATGTATGGACGTAATGACAGTACCCTCCAACGGTGTCCTGCATAAAGAAGTCAAAAGATGGCAAAGGACTCTGATTTATACCCTAGCAAGCACATACTGTTTTACACTGCTCTGTTGGAGCATCTTGTGAGGCTTCCCTGCTACAAGCTCTGGGGAGCAGTCCTCCCTACCTGCCGAGGTGCTCTGGCAGCATACAAACTCCAGGCATAGTTCAACAGTAGCTTTTCGTCCTAAACTTTTTGATTTAACAGTTCCTCACTCACTGCCAGACCAGTTCTGAACCCTCACCCCTGCTGTGATGGCAGGGAACATTTGCAGCCCCCACTGTGGAACTGTGTGGTCATGGTAAGAGGCATTGCTTTTTGTAAGGGAGTGCACAAAAGCATACTTGTGGCCTTTTCCCCTCTCACTGGTCTCAAGCCAGTGAGAAGACAAGGTCTTCTGCAGCTTTACTTTAACTAGGGCTCTTGATGATTGCAAAAGAAATTGGATTTAAAAAATACTTCATCTTCTGTCTAGTGGAGGAAGGGAAGGAAATGTGCTTCATGGTAGGGCTGTTCTTCGCTGTTATCAGTTTCCTTTCTTACCTTATTTCTTCATAGCTCCTTGATGAGTAAGCTTCCCCCTTGTATATTCACACTGACTACTCCTAGTCACTTTCTTGTTCATCATATGACTGAAAATGACTTCTGGGAATAGTTGCTCTGTCACCTCTCTGGGGATCAGTGTGAGGCTGACCAGTCTACATTTCCTCATTTTCGCCCTTCTTGGAGATGAGTGTGACATTTCCTTCATTCCATTCCTCAGGAACCTACTCCCATCTCTGTGACCTTGCAACATCAACTGAGAGTGGCCTAGAGGTGACTTCAGCCAGATGCCTCAGAATTTGGCTCACAGCCACAGTATTAATGTATGTTCTGCCTACTTAGGTATTTTCTTAAGTAATCACCTTTCACTAACAGGGAGTTTTTTATTGCTGCAGATCTCCCATACACCAGTTCCAAGGAAAGCAAACATATGTCTAACCCAAATTGGTTTCCTTGGAGCTACCTAGCAGACAGGTCTGAGAGGTCTCAGCTGTTTGGGTTTTGTGAGTTTCATATGACTCCCAGCTGACCTAGTCCCTAGAGGGCACTTAGGCAAAGGACCCCATGGGAAGATGGGCAGGTTTACATCCCATCTGTGTGACAGTGCTCTGATGAATTCTCAGAGTGCAGGGACCAAAAAGGCCAACCCTGTTGTACACAACACCAATATAAGCAATGGAAATCTTTGGGTCTCCTGGCTTGCTCATTCACTAAAGTGGATCAATTTCCAGAAGAACATCAATACGGCTTAAACAATAAAGACAATTAAAAAACCTTCCCCGCACCCCGCGTATAAAAACTGTACAGAAATTAGTCATAAAGACCTTTTTTTTTTTTTTAATTTTTCTCATTAGGGGGATTTATAACCAAGGATTTTTTGTTACTGCTTACCTGTTTTGTGTCATACCTTCCCAATGTCCAGGACTAACAACCTCAGCAACTGGAATTCCCTTTTACCTTCTTTGGAGAACTCTCAGCTCCTCATGACAAGAAGCTATGCAAGGAGAAATATTTTCTAACATAGGTATTTCAGAACCTGTGTTAGAAACTGAACAGAAACATTCTACTAGAAACATCCAACTTGGATGTTATTTTATTACACTATCTGAATTCATAGGATAGATAGACAGTAACTTCTTTCCTCTGAAAGAAATAAATCAGATGTTCATACTGAGAAAAAGCATCACTGACATCCATGTTTGATGCACTAAAATAAGACTGTGTTAGGAATGCTACACCTACAAAATCTGCAAAACACCAGATCCACATTGCTCTGGGAACTTGTTTGTCAGAAGCATTCAACGGTGAAAGAAAACAGTGCAGATGCTTTAATTAAGCAGTGTAAGACTTCAGCTCGCATTAGTCTTGATTTTAGCCTCTGGACATAGCTTCCGCTCAGGCAAATGCTAAAAACTCTTGCTCTTCAACCCAAGCAAAATATATACCTCTAAGGAAATCACTTTCAATTTTCCCTCTCAACTGAACAGACACAGAGCCAGACAATGGCCAATGAACAACTTAACAAACACATCTAAAATATCAATTTTCCTTGAAATCAAAGATCATACATAGAAACATAAAAGGGAATGAGAGGGTGAAGCATGCCCCACTTTCTTGCATTCATGGATGAGACAAGGGATACTTTTTTCAGTCATAAAAATCTCTCTTCAGTTGGAAAATCACTTTAATGAGCAATTGTGGCAAATAAAATTGAAAATTCTGGGCAGATGATGGGTTGCAAATTAGGCAAATCATTTCAGTCTTATTTGACTGAATAATGAATAATTTCTGCCAAAAATAAACACTGAGTGCTAATACTGGATTAATTCGCACAGGTAGGAGAATAAGGCTAATATGCTCAGCTTACCCAGTTCCAATAATCTCACTTTATGCTTGAACCATTAAACAAACCGTGAAATTCTTCTGATAAAGCAAACATTGGCAAGAGTTTGACACACATCTGCTCTTGGGACCAAGGGGATCAAGAGGAAAGGAAAAAAGAAATGTAAATAAAAATGATGCTACTAAGAATCCCTGTTTGCACAGATGAAGTCTCCATGAGGAAAATGTGAATGACGCACAAGTTTTCTGAAGAGCATCAAGATATGTCCTAATGCAAATGTTAAGAACCACCATACATACGTGAAGCCATACATTATGCATATGGTATATGTATATAGAAATGATGCTAGATTTTCTGTTCTTTTAGGGTTGTTACAGGAAACCCATTATGGACTGTGAACATAGAAATACAATATTGAAGAGGCTGAGACACATCCTTTGAGAACTCCATAATGTGTTCAGACGTGTTTTGAAGCAGTATAGATTTTCTGAGTCCTCCAACCTGCTGTGGAGAATAGATGCCACACGGCTCAGTTGAATCTGATTTTATGAAAGTTTGTCATTGTTCAGAAGTAGGTTCTTAAAATCTTCATGCCTCAATGGAAACTTCTAATGGCTCAGTGGTCATTATATACTACATACAGTATCAGAAAGTGCATTCAGGTCAGTCTTTGTTGAAACTACTTCTTTTCCTATCTTTCTCTGTCTTGGAAGAGGTTGCAAAACTTCTGGAGGAAGTTAGGTACATTGGTTTATGTTCATGGAAGTCCATGGGAAAAGCTCTCTCCACCTTTTTTTGATCCATATGCATTCATATTGCATATTGCCATAAAGTTAGCAAGTTTTCTGGTTCTTATCTTGTCTCCTCCCTTCTTTAAAATAGCATTTATGTCAAGGGCAGTTTTAATATCCTATTAAATTGATAGAGTGAGGGAGTTTTGTTTGCAAAGATTGTGCCTATATTTAAAATTTCACTACTCTGCCATTTGAAGGGGTTTGTTTCAGCTCATTGATCTTGAATTTATATCATTTGATTCTTTAGCCTCCCATAAAATAATCATTTTGTGCTATTTTTACTGGTAATATATAGTGAATGACGTAGGTGTGTATTTGCTTAAAGGCAAGTAAAACCCTTCCCCAAAGCAGATTACTATCAAAATAGACATAATACGGTGATATTAATATCTCTGTCTTATAGTTAAAAGGGAGGCAAGTTCAAAATATAAACCATGTTAGAATAATATGAGCAAGTAACTAGAGCAGATGCCATCAGATGAGATTATTTCCTAATGTCTCTCTTCCTGTGAAAAAAAATTCTGATAGTAATTAAATATTTGAATTATATCATGCTTCCGTAAGCAAGTTTACTTATAAGCAGGAGCTTTGTCGTAGAATGACTGACCTTACAACATTTTCTTGATAAAACATTTCCAACGCAAAAGCAAAATCCAGTTTTGTGTTTATATAATATATTGCTTGAAACGACAGATCTTTTATGTAAAAGAATAAATTTTTCAGCATAGAATTAGCCTTTTAGCCTTTTCAGGATTTACTCCTAGCAATTATGAGATTAACACAATCACATAAAATATTTTTACTTGTTTAAAAACATCAATTTTGTAATCAGGCAAAGGAGTATGACCAGCTGGGTCCTCAGAAGACATTGGCAAGAATTACTAATGCAGCTAAAACACTTCTAAGGAATAAACTAATAGCATTTCTAATTTCAGTCAATGTTCATGATTTCAGTTTGAGTACTCCTAATTCTGAGAGAGGAAAAATCCTGTCTGTGCATTGACTGCCTCTGTTTATTTTCAATTACTTCTAGGTCATGCATATGTTAGATTGATGCAGGCATAACAAAGATCCACATTTTTTCTCATTTATCTTTAAAAAAAGTATCTAAACATCACCTATTTAATTAAATGTCTTAGTTATATACATTTTAGTTAAATATGTATTCATAAATATATATATTTAATTAAATACATTTCTTAATACATCATATTTTTAGTCTGAATCCTATGACTAAAAAGCTAAAAATAAAGTCCTTTTTGTTGAAAATCAGAATTTGGTACATTTCATGAATATTAATTTGCATCTGCTATTTTAAAAATAAATATTCACCATTTGACACTTACCAACAATAACCACAAAATGCATTTGCCTATCCTAAATGCACTTGTACATGCATTTGACTTAAAAATTAGTATTCAGGAGGGATAGCCATGATATTTCTGTAGAGTGTTTAGCTGGACTTCATGTTTTATCATACCCAAAGCAGAAGCAAAGGGAAGCATGAATCCTTAAGGTCGGAACGGGCTTTTGGAGATCATCTAGTCCAACCCCCTTGCACACGCAGGGACACCCAGAGCACATGGCACAGGGTGGCATCCAAGCAGGTTTTGAGGATCTCCAGAGAAGGAGACTCTACTACCTCTCTGGGCAGCCTGTTCCAGGGCTCTGTCAAGAAATTTTCCCCGGAGTTCCTGTGGAACTTTTGGTGCTTCAGTTTGTTCCATTTATTTTTTCTACCTTGTTGTCTGTTGTAGTTCCCTTCCCTACCCCGCCTCTGTCATATTTTGTGAAGTTAATGAGTACTATGAGGAAGCCTGTGCCATGCTTTCACAAATAGTAACCAGCAAACTCTGAGCCTTAAGATGTTACAGAAAACATTAGCATGGTATTAAATATTCCTGAATACATAGTATCATTTTGTTTATTTCCAGACATCTTCCACTAATTTCTTCAACTAGACAGAATACGACCAGTGGTGCTTTCACATGAGTGGTATGCGCCCAGAGTAATTGTTTAACTGATGTTCCAGTGGTCTAAACTGTGAGGTTTGGTTGCAGACCTGTTCTTTTTCAACTGAAGTTGGAGTTTCAGTCAATATTTTTGATAGCATTTATTTATCTGTTGCACTGTTTCTGTCCCCTCACATTCCTTCTTATTTCCCATTTTTGGTAGGCAATGTCATCTTTCCCACCTTGTAACGTAAGGACTTGTCCAGTATATTCTCATATATATATCTCATTCACCACCTGGAGTTTGCAGAGACGGCTTCTCTGCAGTTGGCCACCCAAGAGCACCACTTACAATTTCTGGTCAATGTCAGTGCTGGAAAGTACAAAGGACAATAAAATTCGTTATTGGAAAATGTTGCTTATTTGTATAAAGCAAATATTCTTTTACCAGAAAAAAAAAGGGAAAAAAAACAGTAAAAACCTTTGAATTTAGTCTTTTCTGTTCCCAAATTGGAGCTGAAATAAAGCCCATTTCTATTTCTGTTTTTCACCGAGGAGATACCTCTAATTCACCACTGCTCTGTTGCCTAATCAGAGGTGAGATTTGTTCTGTAGCCATGTTCTGTAATGGGTAAGAATAATTTTATAGCCAAATCTATTGCATCTTGTGAGCTGAGATTATGTAGGCTTGTTTTCTATTTTGTCATTCCACTTTTCTGTGTGATGCTGTAAATTGGGTACCAATGCTGTAAAATTGTCAAGAACTAAGCTCTAAGGCAAACAGTCAAAGAGCTAGAAAGTATAAGCATTTAATGAAAAACCTTAGTGAAATATGAAGTGAAATAAAAGGCATTTAAAGGTATGACCACATGGAATCCTTGTAAAATATTCTTTGGAAGTGTAGACTATTTAGCTATTGTTGTATAAATTCGATAAACATTTTATATGCAGGGACAGAAATAGAGTTTTACTGTTGTCAGTGAAAGATCATATTTATGTCACTTCTCTGTTCAGCGGGTAACTGGGTATCCAGCATCAGACACTGATTTTTTCAGTATTTATTATGCGTATTTTGAAATATCATGACATCTGAGTGAGATGACTTGTAGCGGTAGTGCTGGCTAATTGTTTTGGCTCAGGAATCAGCACTGACATTGATCTACGTCAAGAACTTGGAAATGTCACTAGTGTGTGTTTGTCCCCATCCTGCCTTTAGCTGCTATTTTGGTTTGTTTTGTTGTCCATGTGAAAACTTCCCAGGCAGGGACTCTCTTGCTACGTGTTTGCAAAGTGCCCACCACAACAGAACACTGGATTGGTTTAAGTCTTTTAGATCTCTCTGGATTTCAAGACCAAGCTGGATTTTCAAAGACCACAAGTATAAGAATTTTCATGTTCAATTTGGTAATCCTCCTGTATGTTCAAATAATTTCTTCCAGTGAAGAAAGTCTTACATTTGTTGGCTTGTCTTTATCGTTCGGAGAAGGAAATGCATTTCCAGGCAGTTTTGACTTGAAAGATTTACATTCTAAATCAAATAAGGCTGTTGAATATATAATGTACTGCTTTTACTGACAAAGAAAGGCTGTTTGCTTGTTCTTGCTATAATAATAAAGACTTCTGCTGACAGAAGCAAGCTGAATGTATTTTGGGTTCAAAAACACCCTATTTATAGCCTAGATGCAAAATGATCTCTATTCATTACAATGTCTCATTTGCAGGTTATCATTCTGCTCTTCTCTGAAAGCTAGTCAGCAGATGTTTCATCCCATCCTGACTCACTGCATTAGTGATGAAAAAATATGCTGGATCCTACTATCACAGCCGTCATAGGCCATGTTTAAAACAGACAGGGTAACACGATGGGAAAATATTCTCTCTTGAATACCAATATAACTGCAGTGTTCAAATTCTTCTTCTTTCTTTCTTTCTTTCTTTCTTTCTTTCTTTCTTTCTTTCTTTCTTTCTTTCTTTCTTTCTTTCTTTCTTTCTTTCTTTCTTTCTTTCTCTCTTTCTCTCTTTCTCTCTTTCTCTCTTTCTCTCTTTCTCTCTTTCTCTCTTTCTCTCTTTCTCTCTTTCTCTCTTTCTCTCTTTCTCTCTTTCTCTCTTTCTCTCTTTCTCTCTTTCTCTCTTTCTCTCTTTCTCTCTTTCTCTCTCTCTCTCTCTCTCTCTCTCTCTCTTCTTTCTTTCTTTCTTTCTTTCTTTCTTTCTTTCTTTCTTTCTTTTTGAATAAATAACTTTCCAAATGCATTCAGTCAATGCTAGGTAACATAGCATTAATCTCTCTTCCTATAAAAAAGAAGATTAAAAAAAAGAAAACCAAAAACCTGAACATACTACTTTGTTAAAGGTCTTGAAGATCATCTTTGGTGACATGTAGTTAAGGTCTACGTATATTTCATTTCCCCAGTGACAGAACGAAAAAAGCACCAGTGTTGCATACTCCTGAAAAGGCTTTAAAGGTATTCTTGGTACCGCAAGTAACATACCATGTCATTTGATACCTTTTGATGGCATTGTAGTTGATTTGATCCAGGATGTCTGAAATTGTGAAACTTCACGGTTGAAAAATACAGGACTTTTTGGTCAACTTTGAAATTCCACAAGCGAGATACATTTTTTTTTTTTTCTCCAAGATTAAGTGGGAGATCATTTATGAGAGATCATTTGTCATTGGTAGGTTGGCTGGCATGTCATAAGTTTCATTTATTTTCCCTCAAAATCCAAAGCTTGCAAGAAGAGTAAAAAGTAATTAAGCTAAAGATCATTCTGCTGATTATACAGTGGGTCAAGAAAAGAAATAAAGTCATATTCCCACTTGAAGCAAAAAAACAAAACAGAACAAAACTGCCAGATGTTTCTATAAACATTTTCCTCTTCCCTTCTTGAACAGAGATGGCTACACTATTCTTACGGTTTCACTAGGTACTGATCTATTCCAGTTGCGCTGGTTAGTGAGCAGCTTTTTCCTGTATATTTTCCATCATCATGTTTTTAATATTCTGCTTACACATTTATCAATATACCACTTTTATCTTAATACTCTCAGGCCAGGAGATGAGGGCAGTGGGTAAAAAATACAAATGGTGGATTCTGTGTTACTGAACGCTCAGTAGCCCTGGTGTCATTCCTATTCAGATACCTGGTCCCTCTTTAAAAAACATTAGAATGAGAAAGTATCAAAAGGCCCAGGGAAGTCCAAGTGCTTATATAACACTGAAGAAGGTACAGATGTACTTGCTATGCAAAAATCTAGCTGTTGTTTTACTTTGATATGGGTGATTTTACATCTCAATGGTGTCTCATACCTTACTTGGATGATTTCAAAGGGTATGATATAAACATACTTTTTCCGTGTTAAGAAATTGATTCTAAACAAAATTGGAAAATAATTAGAACTAGTCTTGCTAAAATATGTCAATTGTGTTTGAAATGTTATCATACATACACAGTAAAATCTTTGTACTTTTTTTTTTCCCACATAGTATTCATTTGGCCTGTACTAGATGCACAATACACAGAACAGAAAAATGCAAAGGAGTCAAATTCTGACATTAAAGGCAACCATTAAAAGTGAGTGGGATGGTTAAAGGAACCCTTATATAACACAGTTTTAAACTAACTCACAAAGACTGGGCAAAAAAATGTCCAATAGAATGGTAGCCAGCCTGAAAAGTAGTAATCATAAAAATCCATTGGAGTCAGTAGGAAACTAAATAAGTCATGAGAATATTATGGCTTCCCTTTTACACCATTATATCGTAATGGGGAAATTAGGCTAAGAATAATGCAAGTTCTTATGAATCAGCCTGGTGTTAATGTCTCTGCAAAGATTTCCAGTGCAGTGAATTCTTTATCAAAACGTGCTTAGCAGCAGTGTTTCCTGAGTCACTAAACAAGCTTAGGGACAGATCCTGCCCTCTTTCAAAACCAGCAAGCACTGCAAGATGGCTCCCCTTTTCCTTGGCCTGATTTCCATGCTATGCTCCTTGTAGTTTGCCCCGATACATGTTAGCATGTTTGCCTAAGTCTTTTCAAAGAAGAGTTATGGTGAAACTTTGTCCAGTGTTTGGATGGCAGCCTCATAGACCTTGGCAAGAGCAGAACAGGCAGGACAGGACCAGAAAAACTGGGCCCTGCAAGGTGCCAGCCAGCAACTTTTCTCCCTTTGACTCACTCCAGACACTGCTCCATGGCAGCCAAATTCAGAAAAAGAAGAATTCATAGTTGTCCCCAAATGCATGTGGGTATTTTACCTCTTTGGGAAGCAACCTAAGAGTGGACAGAACTGTATCTTCTCAATGAACTGATACATTTCTAAAGCACAAAGACCTGAGGCATGTAAAGTGTCATGATTTTGTTGAAATTGTTGAAATTAATGGAATTTTTGTCAGACAAGAACTTTGCTTATACTGACTCAAGATTTGCTGACGAAGACAATGCATTTGCTAACATAGAAATGCATTTTCCATTGTCCAGCCACTAGTTAAGAAGATTAATGACTGCTTTGTAGTTTCAATTAAACTCCTTTATCACCATGAGGGACCAAACAAGTTTTAATTCCAGAAGTACTGCTTAAGAAAGAAGACCAGGGCTGCATAACACTGACATTTTATTAGAATTCATTTGTAACAAATGGAACTTGTGTCAGCAAAGAACTGATTTTCATACAGACTTTCTTTCGCCACCAATGTAACGAAGTAAGAAAATAAAAAGCACGCCTTTCATTCTGTAAAACATTTACGCGTACTACTAATTAGAGGTAATTGTATTTTTTAACAAGCCATTTTACAAGGTAATTTTTTTATTTTCAGTCTATGCATCCAAAACAAGAGCAAAGAACACAATTTTTTATTATCTTTGTAAAGACACTCCAAGCTTGAATGGCAAAGCCACATAACAGATGGTTATGATGGGACCTGCAGCCTTCTGATATCTGTTGGAGTATCAGGGCACCAAGAAAAAAGAAAAAAAGAAAAAATAAGAAAAGAATAAAAAAAGGAACAAAAAGAAAAAAAAAGAAAAACAAAAGAAAAACGGAGAGAATAAAAGGAAAAAAAAAAAAAAAAAAACAGTTTTGTTTGTCACTGCAAACTCTTTTTTTCCTTTTTAAACGTTCTGTGTCATTTACGTACACACAAGTGGATTTTAGAAGCAGTTTCTTACAGATGGGTTCAAGTAATAACATTATTGGGTGTAGAATCAATAGGGCAGTGCATAGTACAAAGGTATAGAAAGTGCAAATCTCCCTAGAGGGCCCCTCCCTTCCCCAGCCATCCTCTCCAACATCTAGCTACTCAAAACATTTTGAAAAAAGAGCTAAAATAAACTTCTGTACACATCATTTTTATATATTTTGAGTTCTTCCCCATTGCAACTAATTACAAAATTAGACATAACTACACATACAAACGTAAATAATAGCACCGTACTGGTTATGCTGATGAAACCTATTCTAAGTTTGGAAATGTATGCTATATGTAGACATGCTTACAATTTAAATTAACTGTAGAATGACTTTATATAAGAATACAGAAAGTGGAATGCACATCAATGATGCTAACGGTTCACTTCAGAAACAACTCATAAACATAAAAAAATGGAGGAATATCTAGTTGTACAGCGGTTTCCCTTAAATATTGGCTCTAATTTTTTCAGCACCCTCCTTTTTCCTTAGACCTTGCAACATATTCTACTAGGGAGAAAGCTCTGATCTGTTTACAGACCTGGTGTGAAAGAATCTTCCCTAGTCTGTTTCTAAAAATATCCTTTGTATGATTATATGTAATTTTTTTTTGATCCCCAATATTTGACTAAAAGGACATGACCACACCGCATAACCTGGCACTTCAAGAATTCTTTAGAAAGTACAAATCAAGAAGGAAGAAAAAGAAACATAGTGCACATTCTTCTCAGGTTCAGATGTAAGTTATAGAATCTCATTCTGAGGTAGCCTTCTATCATACTTCTATTTTATATATATATTTATATTTTTGTTTTGTTTTTGTGTTATTTTCTTTACAAAAGTGCTCAAATATAATGCTTGCTTGAGTTTGGTCTTTCATATATTTCTTTCTGCTAGTAGTGGGAAATGTGGAAGAAGAAGAAAAAGCTAAGGTAACATTGCCAAGCCATAGTAATGCTCTTATCTGAAACCCCAAAGAAAAAATTCCTTTGATACTCAGGTATTAAGTGGTACAAGGCATGACAGAAAATGGGGTCAATGTAAATGGCATTCTACTAAGAGTCCCACAACATACTTTGTGCTGTTAAACAGATTTTTGTTTATCCCCAGAAGAAAATCTAGTGTCACTCTAAAAAAATGCCCTGCGGGCTCAGTTGTGCTAGCCTTACATGAACCATCCCACCAAAAGCAGCGATTTGACTTCAGCAATCTGTTGATACAAGTGAAAGCGCTGGGCTAGCCCAAAATTAAAAAAAAAAGAAAAAGAAAAAAAAAAGAAAAAAAGAAAAAGAAAGAAAGAGAAAGAAAGAGAAAAGAAAAAAGATGCACAAACACTACTCATGTCAGCTACTACTAGTGTACTGCTACATCTCTGCAATGATACTACTAAAACCAGTGACACAGTGCTTTTAAAAAGCCAACTGGAAATGGATCTTTAGGTTGAGGGCTGGTCTGTTATTGGGAACACAGAAAGACAAAGGGCCTTGACTACCTATGTGTTTTGGGTTATCACTTATTACCATCCGTACTTCATTAGAGACTGGGAATGCATATTATTCAAAATTGTCCGATTATATAGGTTAGAATGTTTTCACTGAAAAGTATAACAGAGATATGAACTGAACTAAATACAAATGAAGGCTAACGAAAAGAAATGCTATTCAAAATAGGCATCAAATATAAGGCACTCTAAATGTAAAATTAAAATAAAAACCAGCATCTCCAAACAATGCTGTATGCCACAAAACGATTGATTTCACAGAGCAATGCGTGTTTGACTTTGCTCTGTTACATATGATAAATGTAAATTTCATAGCGCACACTATAGACAGTATACTATTGAATACAATTTTAAAACATCTTAATAGCTAGTATATTATAACATTCTCCCCCCTAAAGGGATATGCACTGACCTTTCCCACATGCACACCTCCTATATTTAATAATATGATTTCTTATTGCACTAAAGTGTTACAAATATTGAACTTCACTGGAAGCCTAAACCACATACTGTGTCTGTAGGTTTGTGTGTGTGTTTGCGTGTCTGTGTATGTGTGTGCGCACGTGCACATGTGTATTTTGTGTGTGTGTGTGTGTGCTCAAGTGGTGACGTGGCTAGAAATATTATTTCAGAAAGGGATGATGTTCTGATATCAGTGATGTGCATTCCTCATTTCCCTTTCAAACAAAAGTTCACGGACCTTGGAAATGCAAAGAAGATCAAATACTAGTAGACCTTGATCATAGTTTGCTGAAAAGCTTTCCCATCACTTTGATAAATCCAGGTCATGGAAGAACTGATATATTTCTGTGTGTGTAGATATCTATCCAGCTGTATCTCTGTAGCTATACAGAGAGATAGATTTGAGTAGACTGTAATACATACATATATCTACACATATAGAAGGAGAGAGGGGTGTGCATGTGCGTGTGTGCATGTGTGCGCGTGTGTGTGCGTGCGTGCATGTGTGTTAGCAGCATCTTTATACTTTGCGCCTCCCTGTTGATTCCAAATGAAACCAAAAAGCCCCATTTTGATTTTAACTGATTACAATGAATATTTTCTTAAAGAAAAACAAAATAAACAAAACTGTAAAAGTAATATCTAACAAGACTGTGGTACTGTAGATAAATATAGGACTGCACAAAAATGTGCAAATTTTCAAATTCGTTAACATATCTACAGCACGATATTACAGATAACAGTTCTACAGCTTAAAAAAATCTACAATTTTTAAACAAAAAAAATTAACAGTTATGCAACCTTGTTTTTAATTCACTTCATTGAATGATAAACTCTTGTTAAAAAAAGGAAAAAGTTTACACAGTTAAAAATGAAGCACAGGTCAGCAGTATCTTTACAATACTAAAAAACTAAATCAAGGACTTTCTTTTTAAACATTCCCACATTTTCCCTAAAGTGTTATGATGAGCAGTATCGTGGAAAGGGGTGATGTTGAATCAAAGAGTCCCTTTTGTTTTAGGAACCAGGCACCAGCCTTTTAACAAATATCTTGCACTGAATTGCAGTTCGCTCAAAACTCCTCTTTGTAACAATCAAGAAATCCTGAACAAGATGATGCTTCCTTCCAACAATTTCCTCTTCCCTTTAACTTCAAACAATGTTGGACCCTTGAGGTATCTGTAAATGAGATCCTTCAGACGCCTCACTGGTCAGGATTGTTTTATTATGGTTAGGTTATTAAACTGTGAATTCTTGGTCCACATGGAGTAGTTTTTGTTTCTGTTTCATATATCCCCAATATTTTTGTTTGTTTTATATATCCCCAATAATTGCTCCTTAGCTAAGAGTTAAGAAGTATTTTCTAAAGCACACCGTATGGCTCAGAAGCGGCTCTCTGGATCTTAAAGGGCCTGCAATAAAAATCCACGGTGGGTTTTTACGTTGCATAGTGATCAAAGCTGCCCAGATATTCTAGTGCGGCTCGATAGCAGAACTGGTATTGATCCTGGAGAAAGAAAAGAGAAAAAAAAAAAAAAGAAGAAAAGCTTAAAAAGCTGTTTTCCATTTTATTCCAAGTAAGAGTGAATTTTTCTTGACTGCAGACAAATATACCAGAGAGGCATCTGCAGTTCAGCAGTATTCTCTTGCTGACATCAACAGAACAGCAGTTTGAGTTACAACAAATGAAGATAGACTGAGATCTAATGCAGTAACATTCTCCACAGAATGCACCTTTTTTCCCTGAAGAGGTTCTACAACCATTTCCCAAGCATTTGTTGTTCTGAATTAATATAACATTAGCAAAATGCTTTTTCTCTTATGGGAGCATGTTAAGACTCTTTTCCCCCCATGTATTTGAAAATAACTAGTAAAATACTCAATTAACTCTACAGTAAATATGATACACTGCACTAAGTGACAATATCCATCACAGCCCTGATACAGAATACTGCATGGAAAGCCATCAGATCAAAAATCAGGTTAGGAAGCAAGAGGACCTCAACCTTCAGCAACATAAGCTTTGTTGATGACATGAAGATATGTTAGCCCATGGCAAGAACACAGCCTAAGAGAGACACATGTAGTTAAGCACCTTATTAAAATGAAGCAAATTGCACTTCAGCCTGAAAATGGAGAAAGCAAGCTCAAGGTGATGAGAGATTTGCATATATTTCTTGTGAATCCAGTATTTGGCACTTCATGTTATTCCCACGCACACAGGGCAGTCCTATTACAGAGTTAGGAAACACTACAGGCTTACACTAAAATGCCAAGTCAGTGTGCTCATTTGTGACTGCTACTCAGGGTACTGATGATAAAAAAACAAAACAAAACAAAACAAAAAACCCCAAAAAACCCCAGAAATTATTTCTGAAGAATTTATTTCTGAATTTTTTCCTCCATTCAAAATATCAAAACAGTCTGGTCATTTATATTGTAGTGATACGTGTTAACCCCACATAGTTATATTTATTAAAATCACTTTTTTTTTTTGAAGACCAGGAGACTGATTAGATAGTTGCATCATTTTAATGACACTAATCACTAATGGCTCCCTTCTCCTTGGTTTTAGAACAATGGGAGAATACTTTAAAACATATGTCTAGATTTTAAGTATATGGGTGGTCCATATAATAAGGATTAGATTTCTAAGCACCTTTTAGCACCTAAATTATTGAATATAGAATTTCTTTTCTGAGTCCTCAGAGAAATGAATTGTCAGCATTTCTACTTGCAGTTAGGAGTGAAGCGTAGCATACAAAAACAAGCTGAATTAGGTGGAGGGAGAATATATCACATAGTCCATTTCTGTATTTGTCAAGTAGGCTCCAAGAAGCCTAGTTTTTCTGTATGCTGTATTTATTTCTTGGAAAAAAGTAAAATTTTCCCTAATGTACACTTCTAGAATAACAATGGTAATGGAAAAGAAATGTAATTAATTCTTCCATTTGGTCACAGTGAGTTACCTGTACAAGTGACAAGCTTATCTCTATTTCTCATATTATTTATAAAGTTGTCTTCTTAAAAATAAGACTATCTATCTAGCCTTTTCTGAATAAGTGCAATTTTCTTGCAGAAAACGGTAAGCTCTGGGGAACTATCTTAAATTTCATAGCATGTAATATAAAGGCCAATCAAATTATAACAATTAAACGTATGACCTATTTTTTTTTCCCTTCTCTTGCCCTTTGACTTGATTCCCTCATCAATTGATTCAGGCTGAGTTCAAGTCACTTGTCCAGAAACTTAAGCAGAAATCAAGCACATACCAAAAACATTTAATGTTCTTTATGACATGTTATATTTCCAAGGAATCAGGCCCAGGAGATCGTTTGATATTGTTTATCTCTCTCCTCATTTCTATATAGTACTCTTGCTAGCAGGGCAGTCATTTACTCTGTATAAATGTGTTTACCATTATGATTTTCAAGACAAACAGCCACTTATGTGGTGACACAAAGTCAAGACAACCATGAAAATAATACCACCTGATTTCAAAGTCATGAACAATGGAACATGCAAAATTTAGCGAGTCCACCCACACAAACATTTGGCCTCTTTCTTAATACCACACATTTCTGCCACGAAGGAAAGTTTCAAACAAAAATGGGTAGCATTTCTTGAAAAATAGTTTTACTCAACCATTCAGGTTTCACTAGTGAAGTGATTGTTTTCTTCTGCAGCCAGCAGCATCTGCTGCCATAATAACATGTTAATCTGTAGCCACATAGTCACTAAATGTATAAATGTATGCACATTTTACACAATCTCTATCTGTGCATTCTTGGCTGTGGAAATTGCTCCCTCCATCCCACCTCTTTTCCATCACCATTGTATATGGACACTGTTCTCCTCACCTCTGTCTGTACCATGGCTGGCCGTTGTGTCCTTAACATTTTGACAGTCTGGAAGATGTCGACGACACCTTCGTATCTCATTCTTTCCAACACAATGCTCAGGGTTATGAATACTCCTGTTCGTCCAACACCCGCACTATTGCAATTAAAAAAAAAAAAGAGAGAAGGAATGTTGACTGATGGTTAACGATGATAAAAAATTGGCTGACAACTTATCTGTTGATACAACATATTGTATGTGTATAGGTTTCGAAACAGGTAAATGTTCAGTGAGCAAAATGCCACAGCAAACTGCTACATTTTAGTTAGAATAACTGCTCTCAAGCAAACTCAACATACTACTTATGCACTTCCCGACTTCCAGTCTTCACTGCAAAGTGACTTGGTTTGTTGATCCAAATATACAATAATCTGTGCACAGTGAAGCAAAATGAGTGTTTGCTGTTGGTGAGCTATACTGGAAATGACAGAAGGAAACCAAAATGCATGTTACTGCTGTCTTCCTCTTGACTTGTTCATGTGTATCCCCTCCATTTAATTTTTGTTGATGATGTGATGATATATCTCCCATCACTTGATTTATCAGTTGAGCCTCTATTCTGAGTTGACGACAACCAGTGGACTTCCAGCTAACATTGAAATTGCTCTTAAATGCTACAATTCACGTAAAAGATATAGGGGAAATCTAAGATACGGCTTTTATTGAATTTACACAATCTGGAGTAGAGATTACAGACACTGCATGTATCCATTCATATACTGCATGTATCCATATTAGAATAGAATCAATTTTTTGAAGGTTTTTTGAGGTTTATTTAACCTCAGTTTTGTCTTGGATTTCTGTCAGTAGCTAAAAACCACAAGAAAGAAATTCCTATAATTAACAGTGCCAACAGAGTAAGTTGTTAAACTTAAATAAACATCTATTCATGTAGATCACTCTTGGACATGGGTGGACATCAAAAGTCTTCTGATTCTTCTGAGTCTGAGTGGTTGAAATCAAGCAACTTACCATCTCAGCCTGGAGTCTAACTGCTTCACAAGGTCTTCACAAGGTAAAATGAGTTTCGGAAGATAGAGACTCATAGAGCTATTCAATGTGAAAAAGATGAACAACAAGGAGTGGCTGAAGAACTCTGAACATGAACACGGACTGCGGTAGAGGGACACTGAATGCTGAGATCAGTGTGGAAACCAACGTCCAGGTTGGACAATGGTATTTTACTGTTTAGTCTAGATCAGCATATTTCTAGGGGGTTAAAAATATATGTGATTGTATTTAGAAACTTTGCAGAAGCTGTGCGTTTTCAGAGAGCTGAAACTAAAAAACACTTGACACCCAACTTGATAAAACGTCGTGCTCTCAGTGCTGGTATTCCTGTGTGTGATGACCAATAGTCCTGCAGATCTACAGCAACAGGATTATATGATCTCCTTTCCCAGACGGGATAAATTAGAAAGGTGATGACTTAAAAGGAAAGTCCTGGAAAACAGAATGCTTAAACCTGACTTTAGGAGTCAATGACAATGGGAGATAAACACAGTACCCTAGAAAGTGTTCAGCATACTTTAATGGGCCAACTACCACTGGAGATCAACTATTTGAAGAACTCAAACAAAAAGGTATGTCTTTCTAAATATCTGTGTGATGATTTCTAAATTAGGTGTTAGTCAAATCCTTATTAAGAAAACTATTCATAATTCTTTAAATCAACAAAAGGAGGGAATTAATTTGCTTTTATATTCTTAAGAAGTGAAAAGGTATCCAGAGAATTACTTAATGAGGAACACAGACTGATGTGAAAAAATCTCAATGCTTTTAGATCCTAATTAGCCATTAAGTGTAATACTTTGGTAAAGTGTGTAGAAAACTCAAGGACCTTGTTCCAATTGAAAATGACAAGCATATTTAAATATTAATTCATTTATTATTAGGAGATACTCAGGATTTCTAAAGAGTGATAGAAGTCCACAAATGTACTAGCAGTATTTTTAAAGATCAGCTGACTTCATTCAGTGCAAGTAAAACTGCCAACTGAGTTCTGCCACAGTAATTTACGAAGGAGAGCACCACAGGTTTTTAAAAACCCTCTGTTTAATAAATAGTGAATGGTCCTTGGCATCACTCCATGATGCTGCCAGCTTCAGTGAGGATTCACTGAAGTTTTAACAAATAGACACAAACTGGGAATACCTTAATCAGTCATGAGGAAGTACTGATGTTTTTGTAAGGAGGAGTTTGTAAAAGTAGGTCTTTAATGTCAGGAAAAGGTGCTCCTCCTTACTTTCTAAAAGCTGATATAAAATTTCAAGAGCCTAAGTTGATTCTGGTGAATATTTTGCTTCCGAGTAAACGATCCTTATACTATTTTAGTTAATTTTTAATTGATTGACTGGTAAGGTTAGAAACTTTTAAATAGTAGCACATTGACCTATTTGTAAAAGTGCCAGAGAAACAGAATGTACCTAATGTTTAAAAAGTATGGGTGGTGGTAGTTTAGTGTGGAACACAGAACAAACTCTTGAGAAGTGTATAGAGTGGGATGGAAACTATAGAGAACAGGCACTTGGGAGTTTGATGGTTAAGTAAAAAAAATCCTTTAAAACTCCTCATGGAACCAACTGGAGCCATTATAAGAATACACAAGGTCTAGGCTAGTGGAGGTATCTGGGATCTTGTGTTTTTTGGAATAAACAGCAATTTAAGAAAGTAATTTAATTTCATATGGGTTGACTAACATTGCTAATGATTATTAGCACTATTAACCTCCAAAATGTTATTAGGATGATGATAGAACTTTTAAAGATAAAATCTTGTTGGATTATGTTGGATCTGACATTGTTTCTACCAAAATCTATTCAATTCTCCATGGCTTCAGCATGTCAGGAAAAATGAGGTTTGTGCTTATCACAGTTGTCTTTAACTCTCCTTCACAAAATGCATCCCTGAACTTTGGCTTTCGATCATGGCTTTGCAATGCCATTCCCTTTTCAGGCTATAAAAACCCTTAGACGCACAGAAAAACTGGGATTCAAAATGTCTCATATGTTAAAGTCTTTCTGATTAAGGACCATAAAGATTACTGTTTAAACATCAGAATACAAGCAACTATTCTTCTGGCTCTGTAAGGACAACAATCTCTCTCTTCATTTATATGCTCTAGTAAACTTGTGATTTTGCCTTCATATTAGTATTAGGGTCCTGCCTGGCCTGCGGAGAGGACTTGGTACCTATATTAATATTTGCTATCTATGTTATATAAATAATAACTTTTCATCTATCAAAAAATAATTTAATGTTCCAGAATGAATATCTAAAATCCTGGTGAAATTTATAGAAAGCAATTTATTAAATAAGAGATAAAAGATAAAGATATTATTTTTTTTTGCCATCTGCTTAGACTTTAGAATATGCAGCAAAAGTAAATAAAAATACATAATATTATAAAAGCTCACCACTGGATTATTCCAATGCACCATGTAAGCTGTTGTCATCTGCATCTCAGTTGTAAAGGAATTTAGGTAGTTCATCACATCAGTAAATGAGAATTTCATTCTGGGAGTCTAACTCACCAATTGAAACCTCAGGAATGTTTTGACAGGCAGAGTTTCTGAACTCTGAGTTCTGTTTTATTTGCTTTCCTGATGCAACCACCATTTTATTTGTCTTTTCCTAATTGCCACTAAGGCGCTACTCAAGAATAACTGGTTTGTTTACAGCTAATAATTCCCAATGATGTAACAGAATTGGCTGATTAGCAATGGAAAAAAATAATTAAAAAAAAAAAAGATAGAGGAACCTGTGATAAAGCATTTCCTACTGCTTTCTGAAAGTAGCACTGATCAAGTTGTTTTTATCCTGCGGCAGAGACACATTTCAGTGAAGAAAAATATCACATGCTTCCACACACTTCAGAAGAAAATTTTCTGTAAGAATGCAAGCATCATAAAACAGTTCCCATTTGATAAAGCAATCCTTCTAAAAGTCCCCCTTTAACCCTTGTATTTGATTGCATTTCTGATAGTTCACCTATGAAGCTCCACCTCCTCATATACTTTCGCTGTTGTAAGCTATTTCTAAAGTCAATCTTAGAAAAAGAAACTGCACATGAATTGTTTTGAAATTTCGTTTACTTACCTACAATGAACAGAGATTGGCCCATCCTGACCAAACTGCTCTTTTGTTTTATGCACTTGGCCTATAAAGTCAATAAATCCTTCTCCAGACTTTGGCACTCCTTGTTCTGGCCAGTCAGTGAACTGGAACTGCCTCACTGTACGGGACTGGCCATCCTTTAATGAAAGACACATATTAGATATCCCAAAACAATGTCCCAGTGGCTAGAAGCTAGTCAGGCAACAAAACAGAAGGTCAGTCACAAAAAACGTACATTGGCTGTGAATGGGGAATCGCTAAGATCACATGTACGCAGGTTCTTTTGACACATCACTGATCCATATTTTTGTAGCACTGGCACAGAAATGAAATTTTATTAACTATGACACTGTACAGATTCTTTTCTATAGGAGAGTTGTCTGACATTCTGCCTTTGTGAAAACAGAGTCTAAGGATAAGGAAGTTAAGATCTCATTAAGTAATACATGTATTTTAAAATATTTTTTTGAGTCTTCTGAATTGCAATTTTCCTTTAGGACAGCTAGAATACGGATACCCAGCCTCCCCCTCCTCTCCATAAACATACTCTGTATGGCAGGAATATATTTACTCATAAAATTAATATAAACAATGGGCTCTTTTCAAATTGTACCTTCAATAGCATAGCAGTTATGGTGCTGTCTAGGAGGTAGGCACTTGTCTGGAAGAGGATGACCAAGTCACTTATTGCAAATCATGACTTTCCTTCATTATAACTTAATTTACTAATAGTTTGGACAGGGTTCAAACTAGTAACCCTTTAGAAGACTTTTTCTCTCTCCAGACATGTTGGCTGAAGCTGTTTAGTCCCTTTGATTAGAAATGCTGACAGGATTTTTTTAAAGGACAGAATTCTGCAGCGTGGTTATGTTTATAATAAGCCACAGGAATAATTTAACTAAGTCCACTGCAAACCCCAGCTTCTACTGCATGCATTTTATGTGTAAAGGCTCAGGATAGCATAAATAATAAAAATATAATATAAGTGGATGAAGTAAATTTGTTTCAATGATTCTGAGCACTGTCAATCTGTGCAGCTGTTATACTTAAAAGCATGAACATAAATTGAGCTACTACTCTGGATTACTTTCTCCGGACACATTACATTTCTTAAGCACCCACCATGCCATGTCTTCAAAATGCTCTTTCACTAAATGAAACGCACAAAGAATTAAAATGACTGTAGGAGATCCCCTGAGAAACAGATAGATATGCTGAAGGCAAGAACAGTCTTTCAGTCTTTTTTTTTTCCCCACCAAAAGCTCTCAGTTATTATAGGCCTTAGAATTGAAACAGAAATTGTTTAAAAATAAAGAAAATAAAAGCAGTAATTTGCTTTTATGTTTCTTCTGGTCCTGTGGGTTAATGTCTTTCATGTCTCATCTGGGAGTGGATGGGCGTGTTGCAGCCTCAGCCCAACAAAATAACACACCCTCTTTTTTTGCCCTATACTTTCCTAGATGCCTGCTTTGGCATTGAGCACATCAATTGCGTGGAATACTTTTGTCCTTTGAAAAAAAAAGTGCATCTGTTCCAAAATATCTACCCAAATTTATTTCTACTATGTATCAGCCCAAAGAACCATATATATCATATCTTAAATGGCATTTTCTTAGTATGACGTTTTCTCATAGTTACTCAGGTGAACTCATTCCCCTCTAGATGTCAAATTGGAATGCATTATTCAAGACAACTACAAGATACAGTATTAATCCATCAACACATCTAAGCAATAGAATTGAGTCCCATTTTGACCTCCCATTTCTCTGAAATAAACAAAACCTTAAGTGTGAGGTTTTGTACTTTGCAATTTGCACTACTGCAATGTGCCATTTAAGGCTACGGAAGCTCTTTGACAATTCTCTCACCCTGACAGGATGTACAGTAGAAAAATAGTAGCTTTTTAAGGGAGTAGAAAATAAAAGGAAAGACTATGCTTTACTAGCATAGGCTGTCACTGGAATGTCAACAAATTTCTTCCTATGAATCAGATCTGAAGGTAAATATTTGTATATCATTTGTCTAAATCAGCTATGTGGTATATCTCATGGTAGTCATAACTCAGCAATCTCATGGAAGTATGTGAAAATAGTACTATTTTCTTTTAAAATGGCACTAACTTCTATTATTTAACAAGCACACTAGTAAAGCTAGTTAGTCTGAGGTTAGACTACCACTAGAAGAGAACTGGAGCCACTCTGCTCTTTCTTACACAATTCCCCATGCTCCTAACATTATAAACAGTGCTGCTTTCTTTTAATGAGATGCTTGCCAGTAGAAGTCCAAATATAAATACCAAATTTTATTAAAATCTCTATTTTCAAATATTGTCACAGTGAACATAGATAGGGTAAGAAGTTAACAAAATATGAGCCTTCAAATCCCTATATTGATATGTCTGGAGCATGGGGCTTTTGATAAATAATTCTACTGATTGGATGGCCCTTAGGATTTCTTCTTGCTCCTATGAGGGATATTCAATCATTTTGTGATGAGGCTGTAGAATATATAATACTCACTTACAGCCATTACTAGTAGGCTAGCCTTATATGAGACTGTCCCAACATATCGACCTTTGTAGTTTACAGAACAACTGTATATAAAGCTGCCAGAGCAGTAGATTGAAGTGGCTACAGAGGTCAATTCCAGTTTCCAACAGAAATGACAGTCTTGGGAATAGCACAGTGCTCCACACCAAGCATTCGCTGCTGGGACCTGCAAGAGCAGCCCGCTCCTCGGCTGAACCTGGGAACCTCCGCTTGACCAGGACTCTGAGGCTGTCCTGACATTGCTAAAGTGCTTAGAGACAAGGAGGAGGGAGCCTGATTACAACCAAAGCTGCATTTATTCTCCACTGAATATAATAATTTAGTTAGATGGTCTCAATTACTGGGTGTGACAGGCGTAAAAGTCTAACTAGAGGAAAATCCTAAGATACATTTTCCTAAGTAATGCTTGCAGCTTTCAGCAAATTTTGTGGAGCTACGGTTTCTCAGAATGTCTGTAAAATTTAAGATGGCCCTGAGAGTGAATTATTTTAAAATTGTGGCCATTAAGATAGAGAGATGTTTAAAATTTGGAGAATAATAATAAGCAATTGCAAGATGTCACAACAGGGTTGTTGACATGCATGTATGGCTCACTTAAAAAGTGGTGCACTAATACAGGAGCAGGAAAGCTATTTCTGGCAAATTAGGTTATGCAATCTTTTGAGACTTTTTACTGGTATACTAGCTATCAGGAAAAAGAGAGATTGTACTGGTTTACTATAAACTCTTAAATTAACTTTTGGCAAATATATTTCACCCCAGGTATTGTTTGTAGTCTCTCATCTTCAGATACAACTTGGCTTTTTTGGCATTATTATTATCTGATTTGAGCATGCTGAACTATGTCACCTAACATCTTTTCAGCTCTAGAAGGTACAGAAAAAAAATTAATATTGCATCTTCAAAGACAATCAACAATTTTGGAGTGAAATTGCCTTTGAATCCACCTGCACTTACAGAAGTGGTTGAAAACTGATATTTGAAGCCAGCAACTTTATTTACGAACAAGTTAGAGAAGATATCATTCATGTGATCATTACTATTTTTAGGGGAACGAAAATCAGATCAAAAGTATGCCTGCACATGTTTTATCAAAAACATGTATGTGAGTGTAATTTGCCCACTTAAAATTTTAGTATGTTGACCATCTCACTAACTACCTGTAGGACCAAATTTTACATGAAGTTAACATCCAATCAGAAGTCTGGCCAATAAAGATAAAATGTTATATTTTCTATGGTGACTGACAACTCAACTGGCCAAGTTGATCCTGGAAAGTACATCCATTATTTGGCTTGAACAAACAGTATTTTACAGTGCTTATAGAAATGGAGGGTGTTGGTATTTTTTCTGATCATGCAGAGTAAAGTGCTAGAAATCACAAGTCTGAGAAATGTCAAGTGTGTATTTGAAGTTTATGTATATTTAATCTCATATCAGCACGTAGTCTTGGGCTCGGGAATTCAGATAAGAAATGCAGAATGAAAATAAGGAAGCTAGAGTCACAGCTGTATAACTCCCCTTTGCAGATATACAAGAGTGCTGAGGATAAGCTATGTCAAAAATCAAATTATAATGTGCAAAGCTTGTCAAGCTTTTCTTAAGAATGCTATTTGTCCTGCAGTTTTAAAACCTCACTGTATCAACCTTCACGCTAAGTCAATCTAGAAGGTGGTGCAAAACAACATATTTACAGCTTCAAGAAAGGAAAATTTCCTACCAAAAGGACCAAGATGGAAGGAGATGGCATTCAAATCATCATTTCTGCATTAGATGCGAATACTTATTCAGACCTCTGCAAAATTGTGCTGCCCAGATGTTATATATGAATTGTTTGTAAATAAAGGTGCTATTTATTTAACAAATTCTTTCTCTGATATTTGCTTATTGCTCAAAAAACAAGCACATGTCTAATTAAAAAAAGGAGAGAAGGAGAGAGAGAAATAGTCTTTTTCTTTTAAACTTGAGTGAAATGGGATAATGTTGTGTTAACTTACCCTTGCATCTGTAACCTTGAATTCCCTTAGAATATACTGTGGCATGTTGTACTCTGCCATTGGATCTACGACAAAATACTGGTATCTCGCTGAACGTTCTGCAGGCCAATACTGGTGGCATTTTTCCTACAAAATAACAAAGCAAAACACACTTGTTACTCAAGACCGCCACCACAAGCTTGAGTCTTTTTTTTCACTCAAATAAGAGTAATACTTATGGGAAGTGCCATTACTGACATAAATTTGAAATGTTAATTTTAATGAAATAGAATTGCTTGAAGCAAAACATAAAAACTGTACTGGTCACTGTACCTCTGAACTTACATTTCTGCTCAGTTTTCTTTTTTATCAGTGGAAAGAGCTATGCCTAGCTTAAATGTCAGTACAGAATGGGATGCAAACTTGATGACTATTTTTATTTTTCCCCCTTCTTCCTTGCTGAAGCAAATGTTCTCTGGCCTCAGTCGGGTGTGTCTGTTCACCTCTGCATCCTCTATCAATGTCCCAAGCCACCTCTTTTCTATAACTATTTGGCTGGGCTCTGATTTCACTTATCATGTAGCATGATGTAATCCTGTTTGGATAGTAACTTATTTCATTCTTTCCATTATACGAAGCAGCACTTTAATGACTCTAGGACTGTAAATGGGCCAATGAACCTGCTAATTTCAGCACAATGAGCACACAGAAAACATCCAGCTCTTTTAAAAATACTTTCCCCTAATGTTGTTAACATCAGAAGCTACAGAGGAAAAGTTTCCAAATGAGAAATCCTCATTATTCAACAACCAGCAACGCTCCCCTGCTTTCTTTCTAATACCAACATGAAGACTAAGTTGCTGCTTCTCACTGCATCCCAGAACAAAATGCCATGTCCAGCTTGTCTACATCACCCACAGACTGCAAATGTCACTACCTTGTGACCTCCATGACACCGCTATTTCAAAAACAGAAGGAACTGAAACAGAAATTAGTTTCTGACCTTTACCTTTAGACATCCCATAACGATGAAATACTTTAATAAGAAAACATTAATTATAATAAATATTTTTATGGAAATATTATAGTAATACATACTCTGCCCATTTCTCGCAGCTTAGTAAGCATGACTACAATGGTAGAATTATGCTCCCAGAGCATTCTCCAGAAATCTTCAGTTGTTTCTGCCAAAGGTCCCTGTGTAGCTATGTAAGCCTTCTGCTGTCTATATTGAAAGAAAAATTAAATAAACAGAAATATTTTAAACAAAAGTGTAAATTGATAGCCATATTGTCTGTTTATAAGTAAATATTATCAAGAGGAAGAGTTATATGTTATTAATAACAAGCACATTAATACCTAATATGATTGTTTATTCAACGATATATTTTTTTATTTTTAGAACTTTGTGATGGAAATTACCCTGTTAATATTGTGATATATGTTTTTATCATTATTACTATTATTATTATTTTAATGCAACACTAATAACTCAATTTGTGTGCTGTAAAAAGCACTTAAGAAACATTTAGCTATGCTGCTTCATTTTGCAGAAAAACATATGGTACTGTCTATTAAGTTCAGGAATTATAGCAACAAGCAGTATCTTTATTAACTATTTTTCAACTGCCTAATACCTCCAAGTAAAAGTAAGCCAATAAGAAAGTTCAGGAGTGGACTGTGACGCATTTTCAGGCCTTAAAATCTTAGTTGTGGCACATACCACAAGACTGTGAAAATCTTCTGGAGAGGGAGTTTTATAAGAAGATGGAGACTACTGTACAGTGTTCGTACAGAAATATCTTTGTAGGTGCTATTTCAAATGAAGATCATTTCCAGCTAGGAGGCTCAGAAAAAGTGCTCTGTAGATGCACATATTCAAGCACACCTAAGCTGCCCTTGCAAAAGTGCACTACTTTCCCTTCATGCCTTTTCGTAGCAAGTGCTTAAGCCAGCTAAGGGCATATTGCTCCATGCTATAACGAAGGTTCTGGTTTAAATACATATAAAATCCTTTTTGGGGGCTAAGTCTGCTCTTAATCAGTGCTGCAAGAGCATCATAGGTTATCACCTTGACACCGGCAGTACACCTCCTGTATGTTATTTCTGTGAATCTTTTTAAGCAGAATAGTTGTAAAAAGATGGAGGTTGTATGAACGTATGAATGTATTTAAAATCTCAGTAATCTTCAACATGCAAAAACACACTGAGAGTTCTCAAGTAAAGGTAGGTGCAACTTTATTATTTAAGACTGTATGACTCTTGCACTCTACACAATTTTCCTGTGTGGTATACGTGAAAATCTAGAGTCATTATTAACATTAAAAGGCAAAACAAAACACAAACTGTCCAGATTATAAGCAAAACAATTCACTATTTTCCCTATAATCACATAAATAGTTATGTAAACTTCTAAAGCAGTTAGCATGGGAACACATCAACATTAGTACCTGTATCCATCAATAAAACTAGCGTTTATGTAATCAGAGCCTTCTACTCCTCGGATTGGCTGCAAGCAAACTCTTGTAGACTCATATGGCATAATATTGACAAGGCGATTTTTGAATTTATTACAGGGAAGATTGGCACTGATGAATCTTGAAGTGTGAGCTTTAGAGCTAGCTAGACGCTGTTGAAGATAAATAAATATTAAGAATTAAGATCAGGTATGACAAAAACAAATGTCATTATCAAATTTGATGATCATTGCTTGAGTCACTAACAAGTTATTTCAATTTCAAATGCTTTTTTTAATATATATTTCATGACATTACTTATGATTTCTTTTTCATGCCTATGAGCAAATTTAAATACCAAACAGTTACACAAACATGAATTTCAAAAAGTAAAGGAACAACAGGGTTAAAATATTAACTTTGAACAGTCCTGGTCTGGACACTAACTAAAAGCAGAAACAAATATTTTACAAAATACTGTTCTCTTAATTTATAGTTTCATGCTCCAGGTGACCTAGCTTTTGCTTGCTGGAAACAAATGCTGGAGGATATAGCAGCATGAAGCGTTACCCACTTTGGTCTTGGCCCACCACAGCATAACATATCAGTACCTTAAATTCCAGTTCCATTCCTGTGACATTCTCTCCCGTTTCGATCTGTGTCAGCTTCTGAATATATGCATACAGGTTTCTGGCTGGCACTTCGGTATTTCCACATGTCACTGCTTCCAGCAGTGCATCATGGATAAAGATGTATTGGTCCTCAGTTTGAACCATGTAATTCCTCTGTGCTCTCATTAGAGTTACGTGGCCATAAATATCTACGGTCTTTTCATGTTTTATTCTCTCCAACATGGCATCTATCACGATGAAACAGCCAGTCCTGCCGACCCCAGCGCTTAGAAGAAAAGAACACAGGAGGACGAACATGAAGGAATATGTCATGCAGAGTGCCTATTTTTTATGGCATTCAAACTTTAAAGTTTCATAACTGTTATGAAAAGCACATTTTCTGAATATTAACATCAGCTTCCATGAAAGAGGAGGCCAGTGCCTTTGAAATAAGTGATCTCCTTTAACTCCTCTTAGCAACAACTGAGGATGTAGAATGCATTTGTAAGAGATCTTTGTTAAGAATGCATTTGTAAGAGATCTAAGCAGGCTCAAGCTTGAATGGGAAAGAAATAAAACACATGATGAAAAATGAAAATTACCAGAGGTAATGCATATGCTAAAAATTCCAGCTTTATTTTCAGCATTATCTGTAATTCATTGGACATAATTTTGTTGTTGTTATCCTGTTCTTACTGAGATTAATTTATTAGCAGACAACAACACTATACAAAATGAGTGTTAGAAATTCTGCTTTGAAGGCAAGCTTTCTTCTAGATCAAACTGTGAGGTTTCAGTTGATGCAGTTTGCTGTGTCCTACTCTCCTTTGCCCAGTCAGGCCATAATATTACAATCTGCAAGTAGCTATACTAGTTTTAGGCCTGAAAAATCCTTAGCTAGCCCCATATTCAAGATTCTGCCTTGAATCTCTAGAAGCAAAGTAAGGCACAATTAGAAGGTCCAGAACTTGGACCATGATGTTCAGATTGCTTCAAAAGGCAGATGATAAAAGGACTAAGTATACTTGAAGACAGAGCTTGACATGACAACAGTGAATTTATGTGAAGACTGGGTCAGTAGTATTCCTCAGTCAGGGCTAAAGTAGCATCTCTTCCCTGATTCTAGATCAAATCAGATGCTGGACATTTGGCGCTAAATGCATGTCTGTCCTGTTGAGGACCAGGAAACCTCTCCTTCCCACCTCTGCAAGCAGGTGATTCCAGTAGTGAGTGTACTAACAGCAGTTTACTTTTTATGATTCCTCCTGTCAAAATGTGCCAGACTTGAGGATTTTTAATTATCCTCTTTCTCTCTAAGAGCTTTTATATATCGGCTACCATTAATGACTCCTGAGGACAATGTTATGCATAAGAGGGAAAAGAGACATATAATAGTTACTTTGATGCTATTATTCTTAATCATACATGATCCAATATATGGCATTTTTCATAAAAGAACAGGTTATAGAGGGATTTGCAAAAGGAATATTAAAAAAGACTAGAGAATACACAAGACTAGAAAATGTTCCAATGATTGGGAGAGTTCTTTTTTTTTCTCCTAAATACATTCAAATTTCCTAAAATCTCTGTTGGAAATTCCTTTCTGGAGATGTTTACGCATTATCCGTGTTAGTTCAAATTTTCAAACAGATGTCTGTCTTTTTGCAGCCACAAATATGACTAAAATCTACAAAGTTGTTTCAAATACTTGAGCACATGTAGCTGTTTTTATATATATATTTCTTATATCACCTCATGTCCGTTACAACAAATGCTACTTTCCAGCATTTCCCAGAATATTCTGGGCTTTTGAAAACTTACTGGTTAGTGATGTTGCTCAAATGGTGGTCGGAGAGGGAGAAAATAAAAAACAAATGAAACAATATCTCTCCTAGCTCAATTTGAATTCATCCCTCTTTTATAATAAATGCTCTGCACTCCACAGAAACTGAATTATCTTATAGTTGGCAAGAATCTTGGGGAAAATCTCCAAAACTGGTCTCACTCCTGATATTTTTCTTTTGGATTGCAAAGAAAAATAACAAATAGAACACATCAGTATGTTAGATTGGTTTCCATAAACTTTTAAAGCATTCTTTACTAATTTAGCATACAGTCTTTACTTGTGCTAATTTCCAGAAAGTTTATGAATCATCATTTTAATAAATCACTCCTCAGTTTAAAACTTCTAAGAGCATTTCTTGCACTCTTTTGATTGCAGAAATGACAAAGAAAGCACTGTGCAAATTTTAAAGATATATACAGTTACATACTGTTCTATAAAAGGAATAGTTTCATGGATCAGGACAGCAAGACAGTATCAATATTCAGCAACACACCTATATTTATTTCTTCCTATTGAAGTTCATGCAGTTTTTATCAGCCAGGCAAGTGCTGGCCAAGTGAGAAAATATTTGACAGTGAAAATGTTCTTACAGTTTAGAATATGGTTCTCTTTACTATCACATATTGATGAATTGATGTTCTGGTATTGGGCTTAAAACTGGATATGCCATTTTTCAGAATAAAAAATAAAAATTTTGAAGCTTCCTACAGACTATAACTACTGTTAAATTCAAATCCAGTTAAAAGCTAACACTTTCAACTGGAATGAATGGATATTTTTCATTTCTCTTCCTCATCTCTTGTATTATTATTTGTATTTTTTTTTTTTGCATAAGCAAACTTAGACAGCATTAGTTACTGATATGCTGTAGTACAGATTTTATTTTCTATTTGGACCAGAAGAAGTTGTGAAGTCTCACCACTACATCACACACATTGATATTGTCATCATGAGGAGGAAGGGACCGATCCATTGTTTTCATAGAGGTATTTGGCTCCATTGGACTCCTGACAAAATCCTCTTTGGAGCATTTTATCCAGTAAAACATTTTATTATCTCGATGTGCTCAGAACAAACCAACTCTGCTGTGCAACTACCAGATTTGTCTCTTCAATTTCACACTACAGATGCAACCAAATCTACAAATGTTCTAACTTCCTTCCTGCACTCCAATTCCCCTCTACTATTCATCTCTGAACTCCAACAATAAATAATTCCCTAGTAAGAAACTACAATATTCCATTGTTTTGTCTTATTTTCTGCTGTCACATAGAGACAGTTCAGTGTAGTACAGAGGCCACTGGGAAGCCAAGCAGCTTAAATCCTTACAGATATGCCACAGAAACATCAGCTTGCTGAAATAAATGCAGGACACAGAAAAAATCAAGTCCAGAAAGCTGGAAAAGGAAGTTCAAGAAAAAGAGAAGTTTGAAAGGTTTGTTATTTTTTTAAGTAATGGATGAGATGGACAACTGTATTTTGGCTGTACTCTATGCATGACAGAAAAGCAATGTGCTAAAGGTCAGTATCCTCTTTTAACAAGAAGTCGTGCAAAACGTAATTCTCTCACTGAAACCTTTTACACAGGCTTTCATATTTTTCTTGTGCAGTGGTCAAAATATGTGTTCAAATGGTCAAAATATGTCAAAATATGTGGTCAAATACTGTGACTTGCATATACTCATATATTTTATATTCAGTTGCTTAACTTGATAGCTTAAGGAAGGATCACTTTTATTTCAGCAGCAGTTCTGCAAAAAAGAACATACCCCCTGTGGCTTTGCCACTGCCTATACAATGAAAAGGTTTCATATAACTAGAAATATGACAGGCAATTGACATTCAAGCTGTACTACAATTATCTAGAAGTGATATTACTGTGACTTAATGATTAAGGGATTAATCTCTATTTTCTGAACAGGGGATTCTTGGGCTGTCTGCTTGGTTTAAATTATAAATTACCAGAAGAGTTTTGCTAGCTGACTCACAAAGTTTCCCTGACAACCATTTTTTTTTGTCCTTGCTTTCTATCATTCACCAATCTCAGACAGAATTTCACCAGAATTTCACCTATAAGATTCTAATGGTGAAACACAAGTACCTTCTCTATGATCCTGAAGGACTAAGTTGCACACTGTGGTTATGATAGAATCCTGTTCATACTTGTTTTTCATAATTCCAGCAGCCTTTAACCAAAGACATGATGGAAACTACACAATGGATAAACGATCTCTGCCTTATCTATTCTTTGCTATATTCATCGAAAAGCAAAGGCGTTTTTTTCCTTGTGTCACTGAAAATACAGTGTGAAAATACCACAAGGAAGCTCAGGCAACTGGAATTCAAAAAATGTATATTACCCAGAGATACCAAAGCAGGTGAAGAAGAAGGCAATTCCCTCTGCCTGCAAACATACTAGTGTCAAATTCATGGGCTCAGCTCTAAGCAGCGCTCCATGAAACAAGCGCCTGTTGGAGTCAATCAGGAATGTGTCTCACTGCATTGAGTGTTCAGACTCATGTTCTACTTGCAGAGACTATTCCTATCTGCTTTTGTTAGAAATGATAATACGGTCAATCTGTCTCAGTTCACAAATTAAATCTACAGTTGTTATCGCTGTCTTGCCCTGTTATCTTTTTCTTTCTTTTTTTTTTTTTAATTCTAGCATTTCAGTTAGAGATACTGTTATGTTTACAGGCTGAAACCCTATGCAAGCCTTTAGAAAATTGTTACTGGTTCAAATATTATCATTTATTCCATTATGACATTTGTTTTCAGTTTCTAAAAACATGGTTAGGTCCATCCCATGAGCTGAAACATGCTTAATATCCTGTGATGCGATACAGTTACGATTCACAGACAGAAAAATTAAGAGGCATCAGAGGGCCATTCCACATTACAATCACTGTATGGATGTGTTAAAGGTTGGATTTTGTGATTAATTTGTAGCTGTTTAAATGATGACCCTTTACTGATACTTCAATGATCTGGCAAAGGAAGGTAGTGTAATTGCCAGTTTTCACAGATCATTTAATTCAAAGCAAAGACAGTAAAATATGGACCAAAAATCATTTAGAACATTTTTGACTAACATCAAGGGAAAAAGTTGATTGACTATTATAGTTTCAGACAGAATGAAACTTGCACTTATGAACTGAAAGTACGTACTGATATAGGATATATGCTAAAAAAATCTGGATTTTATTGAGAGACTTCATATGATTAATTACGCATCAATTCTATAGAAATTCTGTAGTCATTCTGACAAGGGCACTATTCATATTACTTTTCTCTTTTAAGAAATTAGGACACAGCTAAAAATCACTACTCTCTAGGAAACAGCGCAAAAGCTATGAAATCATTAAATACCCTTTTGAGGGCATAAATTGGACTGAAGTAGCATAAAGTCTTTGTGCCAAGAAGAAAATTTCATTCTAGAA